CACTAGAGGCCCTAAGATTCATCCAAAGTTTTCCAAAGACAAAATAGCAAATTCTTTCAAAAATAAAATATAAGACTCCTTCTACCAAGATTCGTTTCGATTCTTAAAAAAAAATTATTAGGGACTTCAAGATTCTTTAAAGTTTTTCCAAACATAAAATATCGGGTTTCCACGAATTTTCTGCAAATTATTTCAAAAACAAAATATCAGGGGCTCCGAAATTTTTGGAAATTCTTTCAAAAATTTAACACCTGGTGATTTTGGGATTCTTTTCATTTAAAAAAAATACGCTAGCTACTCTAAGATTCTTTTAAATTTTTAAAAAATACACTAGAGGCCCTAAGATTCATCCAAAGTTTTCCAAAGACAAAATAGCAAATTCTTTCAAAAATAAAATACAAGACTCCTTCTACCAAGATTCGTTTCAATTCTTAAAAAAAAAATGATTAGAAACCTCAAGATTCTTTAAAGTTTTTCCAAACAGAAAATATCAGGTGTCCACGAATTTTCTGCAAATTATTTCAAAAACAAAACATCAGGAGCTCCGAAATTTTTTGGAATTTTTTTTCAAAAATTGAACACCTGGTGATTTTGGGATTCTTTCCTTAAAAAAATACTTTAGCTACTCTAAGGGGCCAATTCCAAGTTGGTGGCGCAAGTCAGTGGAGCAGCGCAACTTTATAATGCTAATTTGGGTATCAAATGCTGGTTGCTAGGGGTGACGGAATAAACAAGCGCAATTTTTCGAGATAAATTGAAATTTTCCATTGAAATTTGCACCATGGAGTTGCGGCACCTCTAGTAGGCAGTGCAAGTTGGCGCAATTTATCTCGAAAAATTGCGCTTGTTTATTCCGTCACCCCTAGCAACCAGCATTTGATACCCAAATTAGCATTATAAAGTTGCGCTGCACCACTGACTTGCGCCACCAACTTGGAATTGACCCCTTAGACTCTTTTAAATTCTTAAAAAATACACTAGAGGACCTAAGATTCATCCAAAGTTTTCCAAAGACAAAATAGCAAATTCTTTCAAAAATAAAATACAAGACTCCTTCTACCAAGATTCGTTTCAATTCTTAAAAAAAAATTGATTAGGGACCTCAAGATTCTTTAAAATTTTTCCAAACATAAAATATCAGGTGCCCATGAATTTTCTGCAAATTATTTCAAAAACAAAATATCAGGGGCTCCGAAATTTTTGGAAAATCTTTCAAAAATTTAACACCTGGTGATTTTGGGATTTTTTCCTAAAAAAAAAAAATACGCGAGCTACTCTAAGATTCTTTTAAATTCTTAAAAAATACACTAGAGGCCCTAAGATTCATCCAAAATTTTCCAAAGACAAAATAGCAAATTCTTTCAAATTCTTTAAAATACAAGACTCCTACCAAGATTCGTTTCAATTCTTAAAAAAAAATGATTAGAAACCTCAAGATTCTTTAAAGTTTTTCCAAACAGAAAATATCAGGTGTCCACGAATTTTCTGCAAATTATTTCAAAAACAAAATATCAGGGGCTCCGAAATTTTTGGAAATTCTTTCAAAAATTTAACACCTGGTGATTTTGGGAATCTTTTCATTAAAAAAAAATACGCTAGCTACTCTAAGATTCTTTTAAATTCTTAAAAAATACACTAGAGGCCCTAAGATTCATCCAAAGTTTTCCAAAGACAAAATAGCAAATTCTTTCAAAAATAAAATATAAGACTCCTTCTACCAAGATTCGTTTCGATTCTTAAAAAAAAATTATTAGGGACTTCAAGATTCTTTAAAGTTTTTCCAAACATAAAATATCGGGTTTCCACGAATTTTCTGCAAATTATTTCAAAAACAAAATATCAGGGGCTCCGAAATTTTTGGAAATTCTTTCAAAAATTTAACACCTGGTGATTTTGGGATTCTTTTCATTTAAAAAAAATACGCTAGCTACTCTAAGATTCTTTTAAATTTTTAAAAAATACACTAGAGGCCCTAAGATTCATCCAAAGTTTTCCAAAGACAAAATAGCAAATTCTTTCAAAAATAAAATACAAGACTCCTTCTACCAAGATTCGTTTCAATTCTTAAAAAAAAAATGATTAGAAACCTCAAGATTCTTTAAAGTTTTTCCAAACAGAAAATATCAGGTGTCCACGAATTTTCTGCAAATTATTTCGAAAACAAAATATCAGGGGCTCCGAAATTTTTGGAAATTCTTTCAAAAATTTAACACCTGGTGATTTTGGGATTCTTTTCATTTAAAAAAATACGCTAGCTACTCTAAGATTCTTTTAAATTCTTAAAAAATACACTAGAGGCCCTAAGATTCATCCAAAGTTTTCCAAAGACAAAATAGCAAATTCTTTCAAAAATAAAATATAAGACTCCTTCTACCAAGATTCGTTTCAATTCTTAAAAAAAATGATTAGAAACCTCAAGATTCTTTAAAGTTTTTCCAAACATAAAATATCAGGTTTCCACGAATTTTCTGCAAATTATTTCAAAAACAAAAGATCAGGGGCTCCGAAATTATTGGATATTCTTTCAAAAATTTAACACCTGGTGATTTTGGGAATCTTTTCATTTAAAAAAAATACGCTAGCTACTCTAAGATTCTTTTAAATTTTTAAAAAATACACTAGAAGCCCTAAGATTCATCCAAAGTTTTCCAAAGACAAAATAGCAAATTCTTTCAAAAATAAAATACAAGACTCCTTCTACTAAGATTCATTTCAATTCTTAAAAAAAAAATTGATTAGGGACGTCAAGATTCTTTAAAGTTTTTCCAAACATAAAATATCAAGGTGTGCACGATTTTTTTGCAAATGCTTTCAAAAACAAAATACCAGGGGCCCCAAAATTTTTGGAGATTCTTTCAAAAACTTAACACTTGGTGATTTTGGGATTTTTTCCTTAAAAAAAAAAAAATACGCGAGCTACTCTAAGATTCTTTAAAATTCTTAAAAAATACACTAGAGGCCCTAAGATTCATCCAAAGTTTTCCAAAGACAAAATAGCAAATTGTTTCAAAAATAAAATACATGACCCCTTCTACGAAGATTCGTTTCGATTTAAAAAAAAAAAAATTATTAGGTACCTCAAGATTCTTTAAAGTTTTTCCAAATATAAAATATCATGTTTCCACGAATTTTCTGCAAATTATTTCAAAAACAAAATATCAGGGGATCCGAAATTTTTGGAAAATCTTTCAAAAATTTAACACCTGGTGATTTTGGGAATCTTTTCATTTAAAAAAAAATACGCAAGCTACACTAAGATTCTTTTAAATTTTTAAAAAATACACTAGAGGCCCTAAGATTCATCCAAAGTTTTCCAAACATAAAATAGTAAATTCTTTCAATATAAAATACAAGATTCCTTCTACCAAGATTCGTTTCAATTCTTAAAAAAAAAAAATGATTAGGGACCTCAAGATTCTTTAAAGTTTTTCCAAACATAAAATATCAGGTTTCCACAAATTTTCTGCAAATTATTTCAAAAACAAAATATCAGGGGATTCAAAATTTTTGGAAATTCTTTCAAAAATTTAACACTTGGTGATTTTGGGATTTTTTCCTAAAAAAAAAAAATACGCGAGCTACTCTAAGATTCTTTTAAATTCTTAAAAAATACACTAGAGGCCCTAAGATTCATCCAAAATTTTCCAAAGACAAAATAGCAAATTCTTTCAAAAATAAAATACAAGACTCCTACCAAGATTCGTTTCAATTCTTAAAAAAAAATGATTAGAAACCTCAAGATTCTTTAAAGTTTTTCCAAACATAAAATATCAGGTGTCCACGAATTTTCTGCAAATTATTTCGAAAACAAAATATCAGGGACTCCGAAATTTTTGGAAATTCCTTAAAAAATTTAACACCTGGTGATTTTGGGAATCTTTTCATTAAAAAAAAATACGCTAGCTACTCTAAGATTCTTTTAAATTCTTAAAAATTAACACCTGGTGATTTTGGGAATCTTTTCATTTAAAAAAAAATACGCTAGCCACTCTAAGATTCTTTTAAATTCTTAAAAAATACACTAGAGGCTCTAAGATTCATCCAAAGTTTTCCAAAGACAAAATAGCAAATTCTTTCAAAAATAAAATACAAGACTGTTTCTACCAAGATTCGTTTCAATTCTTAAAAAAAAATGATTAGAAACCTCAAGATTCTTTAAAAAAGCTTTGAAGATTCTTTCAAACTCTTTCAATAACCAAACACCCGGAACTTTTTTGAAACCATTTCAACAGTAAAACAATGAGAAAAAAATGTAAATTCGAAACTAAAAAAAAATCGAGATTGTTCTTTTCTGCAGTCTCCGCGTTCGCACACAATACTTGTCAATTCCGGCCCAAGTTGAAACATAATTCACAGTCGAGTGTGTGCCTAACGAAGCATGCCTGCCCATCATTCAAATCAGCACATTGTACACCCTGATGCCAAAGTTGTTTCGCCATTATTAAAATCGTCGCAGCTCAGGAAAAGGGATCCCTTTATTTAACTTCCATTCGAATTAAATTGTTTGCTCGTGTATGAACAGATAAGTGTCTGTGACAGTCAATCTCGGTAAAAGACATGTCGTGTCGGTGTCAGACGCCCGAATTCTTTTCGGTCGAACACAAGACGCGGAATGAAAATATCGAACCGAATTTCCAGAGGCGTCAAATCGGGGCGGACCGAATGAATTCGCGTCGAATTTCCGAGAGCTAAGTAGCCGCCGTTTTGATTACCTGTCTTCGCTAAACCAACATTCACTGAGGCTACTAAACCATGTCTTGTTTACCGAATTGCCCCCGGATCTCGTTACTCCTCTAAACGTTAGGTTTCGATATGGAGGAGGTTAATTCGGGCAGAGTTAGCTACTTTAGTGGTGTACTTGTATGTGTACACAGAAACAATCGAATCCTGGAAATCCTGTTTAACTACTGCAGGAACAAAGGAGACCGAGTACATGCAGGAACTTGGAAGGTAAGAGCACATGTTGAAGGTTACCTTTGAAACAAGATTACATGGCTTACCTCGAAGTCTGACAAGCTCCTTATTACCAGCATTAGAACTGCGCCGAAAAAGAAGCATGTCATGAGGTTCCGCGAGTCGGACATTGACGTCACCAGGGGCACCGAACCCATCTGCCAATCGTGGGAAAGGGTCGCCGGGCAGAGCAGCAGCCACCAATTAAAAGCCGCCAAGTAGCAGAAAGTCAACACTCTGAAAAAAAAAGGTGAAAGTTCATTTATTTTGCGATGTTTGTTTTCTAGTGTAAAGTCTAAAAAGTAAAAACCAGTGACGTAAATAGTAAATAACACTCCCGCAGCCTTTTTGACTTGGAATTTTCAATTATTCAGTTTTCAACTTTAAATCTTTCAATTTTTTAATTTTCCATCTTTTGAATTTTTCAATTTTTGATTTGCAATCTTTCAAGTGTTAATTTTAAAAATGTAATAATAATTAGAATTTGAAAAATTTTTCCATTTTTCAATTATTGGATTTTAAAACTTTCATTTATTCGACATTTTAATTTTTAGATTTTTGCTGTTTGAATTTCTCGATATTTAATTTACCAATGTTTCGATTTAACAGTTTTTAGGTTGACCAATTTTTCGATTCGATTCGTTTTTTTGCTTTCCAATTTCCCCATTCATTATTTTTTTCTGATTTTAGTTTATCAATGTTTCAATTTTTCGTTTCTTCAGTTCTTCGATTTTTGATTTTCCACTTTTTCGATTTTGCAATTTTCCCATTTTTTTAGTTATTCAATTTTTAAATTTTCTTTTTTCAATTTTTGTATTTTTCAACTTTTCGAAGCAAAAAAGGACAATTTGCAAAGTTTTCAAAATTGTAAAATTGAAAAATCAAAAACGAAATTAGGAAAAAGTATAAAAGGAAAACATTGGGAAATCTAAAAATTAGAAATCAAGGACTTGAAAAATTAAACAAAACGAAAAATTGAAGAAACGAAAAATTCCTACATTTAATTTTTTTTTATTTCTTCAATTTTACTCTTCCAGTTTTCATTTTCCAAATTTCGGATGTTTCAAAGGTTACAGTTTGCAGTCTTTTGGTTTACAATTTCACGAGTTTTCAATTTTTTGATTTGCGATTTTTCAATTTTTTTGTGTTTCTTCAATTCTTAGATTTTGCCATTTTTCGATTTAAAATTTGTCGAGTTTTACAATTTTACGTTTTTCAATTTTTCGATTCTTTAATTTTCATTTCTACAAATTTTCGATTTGTAATTTTTTGTTTCAGTTTTTAATTTTCTCAATTTTCACAATTTTTCGATTTTTATGTTACAATTTGTTTGTTTTCTCAATTTAATTTTTTTAAATATGATATGATGATATACTACTCTTTATTTCAAAGTATTTTTAGCTATGCCATTATAACCTGGGGCCACAGCAGTCATTTAAAAACCGTTTTTAAATTGCAGCGCCGAGTAGTTCGAATTATTGGAGGTCTATCTTACAGAGCTTGTGTTAAAAATTATTTTAAAGAAAAAAGTATTCTCACCGTGCCCTGTCTTTATATTTTATATGCTTTATTATATGTGAAGTCTAATCTCACCACTTATAATAAACCCACAAATATGTCATTAATCACGAGATCTACCCATAGCATTCACACCGAATTCTATCGTGTAGGTAGAAGTAGAAATGCCATCAATTATTATGGGCCCAAATTATTCAATAAATTACCGAAACGTATTGCTAACTTACCTTTTTCGCAATTTAGCCGTACTATAAGAAATTTTTTATTAAAAAACGCATTTTACTCTCTCGATGAATTTTTAAATTGTAGCGATGTCCTGTGTAGTTTTTACCAGTCGATTTGAATTATCTTGTAAATTGTATAATTTTAAACTCTTTATATTGTAACTTCATCTGACTTGACTTATGTACCCTAATGGTCATTAATAAATACTTACTTACTTACTTACTTACTTACTTACTTACTTAAATTCTTCCTTTTTTAAGTTTTAGATTTTTCAATGTCTCAATTTTTCAATTTTTTGTTTCTTCAGTTTTTGATTTGCAATTTTCTAGTTTTCGTTTTAAATAAGTTTTTAATTTTAAAATTTTCCACTTTTTCAATATTACGATTTTAGAATTTTACAATTTTTCAGTTATTAAACTAATTTAATTTTAATAACCCTTCGTGGTTGATGTGACAATAAACATTTACTTAAAAAAAAAAACTAATTTATTCGATTTTTCAAATTTTCTATTTTTTTAAATTGCCCGATATTAATTTATCGATGTTTCGATTTTACAGTTTTTAGGTTGACAAATTTTTCGATTTAATTCGTTTTTTTGCTTTCCAATTTCCCGATTCATTATTTTTTTCCGATTTTTAAGTTTCTCGATTTTACTTTATCAATGTTTCAATTTTTCGTTTCTTCAGTTCTTCGAATTTTGATTTTCCACTTTTTCGATTTTGCAATTTTCCCATTTTTTTAGTTATTCAATTTTTAAATTTTCATTTTTTCAATTTTTGTATTTTTCAACTTTTCGAAATAAAAAAAGGACAATTTGCAAAGTTTTCAAAATTGTAAAATCGAAAAATCAAAAATGAAATTAGGAAAAGGTATAAAAGGAAAACATTGGGAAATCTAAAAATTGGAAATCAAGGACTTGAAAAATTATACAAAACGAAAAATTGAGGAAACGAAAAATTCCTACATTTAATTTTTTTATTTCTTCAATTTTACTCTTCCAGTTTTCATTATAAAACTGGCAATTTTTCGATTTTCCAAATTTTGGATGTTTCAAAGTTTACAGTTTGCAGTCTTTTGGTTTACAATTTCACGAGTTTTCAATTTTTCGATTTGCGATTTTAAAATTTTTTTTTGTTTCTTCAATTCTTAGATTTTGCCATTTTTCGATTTAAAATTTGTCGAGTTTTACAATTTTTCGTTTTTCAATTTTTCGATTTGTAATTTTTTGTTTCAGTTTTTAATTTTCTCTATTTTCACAATTTTTCGATTTTTATGTTATAATTTGTTTGTTTTTTGAATTTAATTTTTTTAAATTATTCCTTTTTTAAATTTTAGATTTTTCAATTTCTCGATTTTTCAATTTTTTGTTTCTTCAGTTTTTGATTTGCAATTTTCTAGTTTTCGTTTTAAATAAGTTTTGAAAAATAATTACATTTTAAAATTTTCCACTTTTTCATTTTTACGATTTTTGTATTTTACAATTTTTCAGTTATTAAATTAATTTATTCGATTTTTCAAATTTTCTATTTTTTTAAATTGCTCGGTATTAATTTATCGATGTTTCGATTTTACAGTTTTTAGGTTGACCAATTTTTCGATTCGATTCGTTTTTTTGCTTTCCAATTTCCCGATTCATTAATTTTTTCCAATTATTAAGTTTCTCGATTTTAGTTTATCAATGTTTCAATTTTTCCTTTCTTCAATTCTTCGATTTTTGATTTTCCACTCTTTCGATTTTGCAATGTTCCCATTTTTTAGTTGTTCAATTTTTAAATTTTCAATTTTTGTATTTTTCATCTTTTTGAAGCAAAAAAAGGACAATTTGCAAAGTTTTCAAAATTGTAAAACTGAAAAATCAGAAACGAAATTAGGAAAAAGTATAAAAGGAAAACATTGGCAAATCTAAAAATTGGAATTCAAGGACTTGAAAAATTAAACAGAACGAAAAATTGAGGAAACGAAAAATTCCTACATTTATTTTATTTTATTTCTTCAATTTCTCTTCCAGTTTTCATTACAAAACTGGAAATTTTTCGATTTTCCAAGTTTTGGATGTTTCAAAGTTTACAGTTTGCAATTTCACGACTTTCAATTTTTCAATTTGCGATTTTTCAATTTTTTTTTGTTTCTTCAATTCTTAGATTTTCCCATATTTCGATTTAAAATATGTCGAGTTTTACAATTTTTCGTTTTTCAATTTTTCGATTTGCAATTTTTTGTTTCAGTTTTTAATTTTCTCTATTTTCACAATTTTTCGATTTTTATGTTATAATTTGTTTGTTTTTTCAATTTATTTTTTTTTAATTCTTCCTTTTTTAAATTTTAGATTTTTCAATTTCTCGATTTTTCAATTTTTTGTTTCTTCAGTTTTTGATTTGCAATTTTCTAGTTTTCGTTTTAAATAAGTTTTTAAAAATACTTACATTTTAAAATTTTCCACTTTTTCAATTTTACGATTTTAGAATTTTACAATTTTTCAGTTATTAAACTAATTATTCGATTTTTCAAATTTTCTATTTTTTTAAATTGCTCGATATTAATTTATCGATGTTTCGATTTTACAGTTTTTAGGTTGACCAATTTTTCGATTCGATTCGTTTTTTTGCTTTCCAATTTCCAATTTTTTCCGATTATTAAGTTTCTCGATTTTAGTTTATCAATGTTTCAATTTTTCCTTTCTTCAATTCTTCGATTTTTGATTTTCCACTCTTTCGATTTTGCAATGTTCCCATTTTTTAGTTGTTCAATTTTTAAATTTTCAATTTTTGTATTTTTCAACTTTTCGAAGCAAAAAAAGGACAATTTGCAAAGTTTTCAAAATTGTAAAACTGAAAAATCAGAAACGAAATTAGGAAAAAGTATAAAAGGAAAACATTGGCAAATCTAAAAATTGGAAATCAAGGACTTGAAAAATTAAACAAAACGAAAAATTGATGAAACGAAAAATTCCTACATTTATTTTTTTTTATTTCTTCAATTTCTCTTCCAGTTTTCATTATAAAACTGGCAATTTTTCGATTTTCCAAATTTTGGATGTTTCAGTCTTTTGGTTTACAATTTCACGAGTTTTTAATTTTTCGATTTGCGATTTTTCAATTTTTTTTTGTTTCTTCAATTCTTAGATTTTCCCATTTTTCAATTTAAAATATGTCGAGTTTTACAATTTTTAGTTTTTCAATTTTTCGATTCTTTAATTTTCATTTCTTTAATTTTTCGATTTGCAATGTTTAATTTTTTGTTTTTTCAAATTTTTCAGTTTTCCGATTTTCCAACTTCTGGATGTTTCAATTTTTAGATTTTGCTATTTTTCGATTTGCAATATCAGTTTTCAATTTTTACTTTTTCAGTTTTTCATTTCTTCAATTTTTCGAGTTGGAATTTTTCTCTATTTTCACAATTTTTCGATTTTTATGTACCGATTTTACAATTTGTTTGTTTTTTAGAATTTAATTTTTCTCAATTTTTGATTTTTAATTTTTTTACTTTTCTGATT